AAGAAAACAAATATGAGGATTCAGTTCCACCTTATGGCCATATTGTGTTGAGCCCACCACTACTTCACAGTACCCCAATATCGGGGGTCCTACACTAATTCCTAATGTGAGAGACAAATTAAATAGTGCTAGTGCTAAATAAGCAAAAGTGTATTCAATTAATTGACACTTAATACAGATTAAGTTATTTGTTTTCTTAGGCGATTTTAAGTAGCCTAAGTTTTATAAGTGTATTTTTATGTGTGCGCTGTAACTTATGTATCTGTATTATGTATGAATTTTGCTCACTACGGCAGCACCATTCCTGCAGAATGCAGGTTCCGGATGTGCCCCCAATCCTTTTTGTCTTTGCTATGCAAGTTTGGAATCCAGACCAGATTCCCTTTAGGGTTAAGCACCCCGCCCAGCCCCCCAGCTTCAGAGGCGCCTTCGGAGGTGACCACAGGTGTGTGTATATGTATATGAGGAGTTTTTGAATAGTAATGTCACTTTTATTATAACCTTCATTTAGCACATATGTAGTTGGCATTGTGAGAATATTCATCCAATCACTTATACTTTAATTGTTTAGTTTTTAAACAGTTTTAACTGTTTTTATCACATTCATTTTGTATTCTGTATATTCACAATGCTTTTACACTAGATTAATTGACCACACTTTAGCTTATTTAGCACTAGCACTATTTAATTTGTCTACCATGTTTGGAGTTAGTGTAGAACCCACCAATAGTGGGGTACGGAAGTAGTGACGCGCTTAACACAATATTGTCACATGGTGGAACTGAATCCCCATATTTATTTTCTTGGGAAATTTTAAGTAGCCTTCTAAGTATTTTTATGTGTATGTTGTAACTTAATCTGTAAAATTTAATTAATCCATGAAGCATGACTTTACAGGTGATACAAACATGTTACATAATACAAGTGGACAGTTTAATTGACATAGTAATTGGTTTCTCCAGCCTTTGTCAATATAAAGCATGCTGCACGCTTGCAGACTTGCTTTCTGGAAATACGCCTCCACCCAAGATCACAAAGGTAAGCCAGAATCTCTTGCTATGTTTTGTGCATTGCTGTTGCTGTTTGATGGCTTGAATGGCTTGAATTTAAGAGTCATAGTCTGCTGGTATTGTGTTGTAGCATTGTTTTGCATATAAATGTTTTATGGTGTGAGGGACCATGTCAAGTGGTCCCTCTTGGTTAATTGGACATTCTCTGATGTCCTGTTATTTAATGCATGGTAAGTCCCTTTTGTGCACCAAAACAAGGAATTGAATGAAAATCTCTAAATGCCAGTTGAGGTTGGTATTGCATTTTATGATGCCAGAAACTTGGGCCATTGAGCCGATTTCTCTCTATTAAAAGTAGATTTGAATTTTAAAATATCAAGGAGATGGGGATATTTTGGTGCATGATAAATGCCTTATTGCAATTGTGTGTGTGTGTGGGGTGTTTTTTATTTATTTATTTATTTTTTATACTGAGTCAAATTTTTGCAATTCCAAGGACTACTCTGTTTTGCTTGCTTATAGTATATTGGCAAACACAGCCATTCTATGCAGTCTTAAATTTTTTTTATAGGTTTATAGTAATGTGTTTGGACATTATTAAAGGGACACTATAATGATCAGAACTACAGCTTAATGTAGTTGTTCTGATGTCTATAGCATGTCTCTGCAGGCTTTTTAATGTGAACCCTGCCTTTTCAGATAAACACCTCCTAGGTGCAGTCACTCAGATTACCACAAGAGGTGCTTCCTAGGTCACACTTTGCATGGAGGTAATGAACATTCCTCAGAAAGATGCACGGAGTACAATACATCTCGTTTTGCATTGCAATTGACAAGGGACAGACAGACAGACACACACAGACAGACACACAGAGACAGAGAGACAGACACAGACAGACACACAGACACACAGAGACAGACACAGACACACACAGACAGACAAAGAGACACAGACAGACACAGACAGACACAGAGACACAGGCAGAGACACAGACATAGACACGTGCACAGACAGACAGACAAGCACAGACAGACAGGCACAGACAGACAGAGACAGACACAGGCACAGACAGACAGAGACAGGCACAGACAGACACAGACACAGACACACAGGCACAGGCACAGATGTACAGCCACACAGGCACAGATAGACAGACAGGCACAGACAGACAGGCACAGACAGACAGACAGGTACAGACAGGCGCAGACAGACAGGCGAAGACAGACAGGCGCAGACACAGACACACAGACACAGACACAGACAGACAGACACAGACAGGCACAGACAGGCACACAGACAGACAGACAGGCACAGAC